GCCTGAAGCAGAGCGAGGGTTACTGGGTCCTTGTCCGGGGCGGGTCAGCATAGGCAGTAGTAACAGGAAGTTCCTTAGGGGCGGGGACTAAGTCTAACACAGGTCAGGAGCACAACAAATACATGTATAAGAAGGGAGGGAGGGCTTCCCTGGTGGCGCAGTGGTTGAGAGTCCGCCTGCCGATGCAGGGGGCGCGGGTTCGTGCCCCGGTCCGGGAAGATCCCACATGCCACGGAGCGGCTGGGCCCGTGAGCCGTGGCCGCTGGGCCTGCGTGTCCGGAGCCTGTGCTCTGCAGCGGGAGAGGCCACAACAGTGAGAGGCCCGCGGAACAAAAAAAAAAAAAAAAAAAAAAAAGAAGAAGGGAGGGAGAAGGAAAGCAAAGGGATAAATATAGAAAGACAGAAACTAAGAGATGATCTCATCCAGGGGCTTCCCTGGAGGTCCAGTGGATAAGTCTTTGCCTTCCAGTGCAGGGAGTATGGGTTCGATCCCTGGTCGGGGATCTAGCATCCCACATGCCTCATGGCAAAAAAACCAAAACATAAAACAGAAGCAATATTGTAATAAATTCAATAAAGACTTTAAAAATGGTCACATCAAAAAGAAATTTTTAAAATTAAATATAGTAAAAAAGAAAAGAAATGATCTCATCCGACCATTCATTTCACAAATGAAGAAACTGCTGCCCAGACAGGGACATTTGCCCAAGGCCACATGCTCCCTTAGAGCCTGCTAGGACCCTAGCCCCCAGTACTTTTTCTTGTATTCACAATGCAGCCTGTCCTGCTTACTGCTGGGTTCAGCGCACCCTGGAAGAAGCCGAGTCTACGTTGGTTGCCCAGCAACGCCCTCGGGCTCTGACCCCACCTCACCCAATGCCAACCTCAGGAAGAGAGGTGGAAAGTCCAATGTGTTTGCCCTCTCGCTGTGTTACTTCTTTGTGCATTCACTCACTCACTCGCTCACTTATTCACTTATCCAACACACACTTACAGAGTACCTATCTGCTTCGGTCACTTAGCAGTTGGAGTAGGGTACGAGACTCAGGAGGCGGTACACCCCCTGGGTGCAGCACCCTCCCACCATCAGATCTGTCAACCCCCCTGCAGCCAAAGCAGATGAAATGTCCCTGCACCCATGCAAGGCCAACCCATCCTCTTTGCTCTGCATCCTGCCTCACTCCCCTTTCTGAGGATTTGGTCCCTACAGTTTATCCCTTCTCTTTACTCCATCAACGTCTCCCTTTCCAATTCATCACTGCCTTGGCCAGCATACATGCTCTGCCATCTTCTCTTTTAAAAATTCCTCTTCTTACCTCACATTCCTCTCCAGCTACCAGCCCTTCTCTGCTCCATGGTCTCTGACCTCACCTCCTCATTCCCCTCCAATCAGGCCAACGCTGATCTCTTCAGATCTCCGCAGCCTCTATCCCGATCACTCCAGTGGTCACTTCCGTGTCCATCACCCCCGCTCAACCTCTTAGCCGACTTTGATTCAGTTCATCACTCCCTCCATGCCTTGGGGTTTCATGATGCCAGTTCTCCTGGTTTGCCCCCTAACCCAAGGGCCTTTCTGACTCACTGGCATTGCTCGTTCCTTCTCTGTTATGTCTCTGAATGTTGAAGAATCCCAGGGCTTGGTTTGTGAGCCTTCTGTGATTTTCCATATTCACATTCTCTTTCTAGTGATCTTGTGTAATCCCTTGGCATTAAATAACAGCTTTGTACAATGGCTGAAATTTATGCCCTAGTCAGGATTCTTTCCTGACTTCAGACACACATCATGTGCCTACTGATGTATTAAACTGGTTATCTAGGCGGTGTCTCAATCCTAATATGGCCCAATAGAACTCTTGACTTCCACATGCCAAATACTCCACCTCTTCCTCTTCTAACCTCCCACATATATACTTGTCACCACCATCCATGCTGTTTCCCAAGCCCCAAACCAGGGACTCATCCTTGTTTCCCCTGTCATTGAACCCCTACAGCCAATTCACTAGTAAGTGCTGTTGGCTCTACCACCAAAATCCATCCTCAGTGTCTCTGTCCTCCTCCTTCCCTGCTACCTCCATGGCCCACACCACTGTTATGTCCTGTATGAACTACTGCAATTGTCCTTCAATTGGTCAGTTGGTCTCTGTGCTCCGTCTTTTGACTGTCTACAATTTGTTTTCCCAGTGGCCTGAGTAGTTTACAAATTCGACCCATCCACGAACAACATCTCCTCATTCTGCAGTGCTTTTGCCACTCACTCACTGTTCTCGGATATTTCACCCTCTTTCTTTGTGTGATCATGCTAAACTAGTTGCTGCCTTGGGGCCTTTGCACTTGCTGTTCTTTTGGGCTGGGGTCGGTCTGCCCCAGTTTATCACTTGGCTGACCACTTTGAACACCTTCTCAGAGAGGCCTCTCCGGATCACCCAATCTAAAGTAATCTTCTCTCCCTGTGGCTCTGTATTACATCATCTCCCATTTCATTGTCTTCCAAGTGCTTATCACTATCTGAAATGATCTTGTTTATTCATTCACCGACTTTTTTTACTACACTTTTTTTCTCCACTATTAGGCTGTAAGCTCCATAAATAGAGGGACCTGTCTTGTTCACTGCTATATCCCCAGCATCCCATACCATACATCTTCAACCACTATTTGTCAAGTGAAAAGTGGTGAATGGATGGTAGGGCGCAAGGATGGTTGAGAGGGTGGATAATGGATAGATGAAAGAATGGATACGTGAAAAGCTGTATGGAAGGATGGACAGAAGGACAGATGGGTGAATGGAAGGGTGGATGGATAGATGGATGGATGATGGAAGGATGGAGGAAGGGATGGATGGATGGGTAGATGGATGGGTGGATGGATGGATGGGTGGAAGGAAGGATGAATAGAAGGATGAATGACAGAAGGATGGAAGAATAGATGAGACGACACACGGATGTACGTAAAAATGTGTGTAAAGATGAGTGGATGGAAAGATGGAGAGATGGATGGATGGATCCATCTGTCGGAGCTCTCGGTACGGCTCCAGAACTGGCTAGAGGGTCATTAACTGTATCAATGAGACAGGAACAACAGCAACAACCATTAGAAGGCACAACAGAAGATGAATGGATAAGGGAAATCTGTGCCCTGGTCTGGTTCCTATGTCGCTCTCCTATAACACATGTCATTATTTCTGGTATGGTGGAAAGCAGCGTGGTGTAGTACGCGAGATTTGAAAGAATGCTAGATTTGAAATAAAAAAAAACTGTGTTTGAACAACCCAGCCACTTAGTATGGTTATGACCCCGAGCACACTACTTTGCTTTGCTACGCTTGTTTCCTTATCTACATAAAACTAAGATCATACCAGCTTCCCAGTCTTATAGTGAGGATTAAATGAGAAATAAACGTATCCCTATGAATGGCCAGGCACACAGAAAGTGCCTGACAAATGATCTCTTCCTTCCTTCCACAACTGATTGAAGAATGTCATTGGTATGCCTTGCTTTGAGCACTTTGTCTGTACCTAGCACACAGTAGGTGCTCAATGAAGGTTTGATTTTAATGGAAGGAATCTCGCTTCAGTCAACTTGGAGATTGTAACCACTGGTAAGAGATGGACACGAATACTTTTTCTACAAAAAAATTCCTTAAGAATTCATTTGCACCATGGAGTTACTGGGAACCAGGGATGCATTTAAATAACGTTGCGTTTTCTGAAAACTGATTTGCGTGTAACTTACTGGGAGCCCATCCACCTTGCCAGGCAAGCCCCCTCCTGGAATTCACTTTGCAGTCCATGCTGTACTTGTGTTATTTATTTTTTTTCCACAACACCCACTCAGGGTGAGGTCTTTATGGAAACAACCTGGGGGCCTTTGAAGAGAGGCCCAAGCCTTCCAGCTACCTCACAGGTCAGACTCTGGGCCCCAGGAACCACCCCTTGCCCTGGGCCTGCCCCCGGGAATGATCCATAATTAAGAGAAAAGCCCTGTGCTTTACATGTCCTCCTCCCCTTCTAAGCAGGCGGCAGGGAAAGGTGGAGAGGTTGGAAGGGGAATGGGGGAAGCCGACTGGAGCCTGGGATTTTGATTGAGAGGCCCCATTATCCACACTCTTAAAAAAATAACCAAATCTTTTCCTTTTTTATCTGGACCAATCTCATTTCACGCTCCAGAAGAGGAAGGGAGGGAGGGAGGGAGTCTGGGGCCAGGAGGGAGAGAGGAGTCAGTATTCTGTATTTTCAACGCTGCATTAAGCACATCACCACGGTAACCAGGCAGCAACAAGTGCCAGCTCAGCGGGTTCCCAGGGAGCGCAGAGCCTCCTTCCCTCCCTCCCTCCTCCTCCCCTCCCTCTGCCCGGGAGAGCCCAGCCCACCTGCCTCGCACAGGGCACCCGAGTGGGTGGCTGGTAAAGCATAACCCCTGCCAGTGGGGGAGGGAAA